TCTGAATTCCTCCTGCAGAAGCCACCTGGCTGTTCCTCACTGGGGAGGGGGTGGCTCTTGTGGGGGTTCTTTTCATTCCTGCTTTTGATTCCACCACATCTCGGTGCCCGTGGCGAGCGCTGGGGGTTTCTCAGCGCGTTCTCCACGCTGGAGGAGCTGCTCAGAGCCTTCTCCCAGCCCTCCTGGACACTGCCCTGCCCCCAGATTCCTGTGATGGATGGATCTGTGCTTTCCTTTGCAGATGGAGAAGGATGAGACTGTGAGTGACTCCTCTCCACACATAGCCAATATCGGCCGCTTGGTAGAGGTGAGTGACTTCTTTTGTTCAAATTTGGATTTTGTTGCGTTTTTCTTTACAAAGAATTTACTCATTGCTGTTGTTGCTCAGTGCTCCTCCTGTTTGTGGGCACTCTGCCCCTTGTCTCCTCCTCCCATTCCTAATTCAAATTAATTTGAATTCCCTAATTCAAATTAACAACTTCCTACCCCCGTATTTGCTTTCTCAGCCACTTTTGGGAAGAATTATTTCAAGTCAGGTTGCTACACAGCACTGTCCCTTGGACCCAAAGTTGAGTGTTAGGAAATGCCCTGGAACTGGGTTTAGTTTTGGGTTTTGTGGCAGCACTGGAAGCTCAGCACGAGCTGCTCAGCACCAGTTTTCTGTTTCACTGCACTGTCCTGAAGCTGTTCCACATTCCCTTGATTTTTATAGCCAGGAAAGGAGGAAATCCTCAACTATGGTGCATTTTTAGGGAACTGGGAAATTAAAGAAAGGCAGCTCCTTCTTTTTGGATCCCTTTTTTAAAGTTGTTTGAGCGAAAGCTGCTTTGTTACAGGATCTCTCTCAGAGCTCTGTGGTGCAGCTTTAAGGAACAAATCAAAAATCCAAAGTGAGCCCTGAGCACAGAGCTGGGGACTGTTGGTTTTGCTGGAGGGCTGATTTGGGAGGGTTGGGCTGATGGATTTTGCTGCTTGCAGAGCTGGAGAGGAGCTGCCCTCTCGTGGTGCTGAGAATTCCATGGGCTGGGAAAGGCTGGGAATGCTCCGGGTGTGCAGCGAGCCTGCAAACGGCTGAGCTGATTCAAGAGCTGCTGCTTTATTTTCCAGGACATGGAAAACAAAATCAGAAGTACACTGAACGAGATTTATTTTGGAAAGACAAAGGACATCGTTAATGGGCTGAGGTAAGGGAGCTGCAGGGGCTGGGGATCCTTTGCATCCCTGTGGTGCCACCCCAGCCTTGAGCTGCTTTTTTTTTTTCCTCCTTCCCTGAGTTTTGGGACAATATTTGTTGTGTGGAGTCCAGGGAACTCTTCTACTGCAGAAATGTGAAGAAATGTTTTAATCCCTTTTTCCCTCACCAGGAGCAAAACAGCCCAATTAACGTTTGTGTTTTCAGATTATTTCTCATTAGTTTTATTCTTCACAGTCTTGCAAGCTCTGCTTAAATTCTGTCTTCTCTTTCTGCTGTCCTTAAAAATAATCCCAGGATTAAGTCATGATGTGGGTGGTTTGTGGTGTTCAGGGTTTGTTTTAAATTCTGTCTTTCTCTCAACACTACTGGTCAAAATAGAGTGTATGAGAAGAGATGAAATTCCCTGTGCCTTTCTGTAGGGGAACTGTGCTGTACTTTTCAGCCCCTGCTCATTCCTGGCCAGGAATTGGACATGGAAATCCCAAGCTGGTGATTCTCTTGCTCACAAAGTACAGAACTGTGATCATTTTAAAGTTCAGAGAGACCTCCCAGCTCAGTGTGGGAATGTAGAATAACCACAGGGCACAGAGAAATGCTCTGCTCTTCCCTCACGCACTGAGATGTGGAAAAAGAGAGGAAACTGAAGTTAATTAAACATTGGTGCTGCTGTGTGGGCAGAGGGAGCAGCAGGAGCTGCGGGAGGGGCTCCGAGTTCTGCTGCTCTGGGTTCTTCCCCAAGCCCAGCTCAGCCTCAGTTTCCTCTGTGCTGAGCAGGGTTTAGCCAGGAAGTTTTTGTTACCAGCAGAGGGAATCTGTAATAGAACCTTTCTCTTGGGAACGTTGCCTTGAGCTGTTGAATCTCTGCTGTGTCTCCCCATCCCTCGCTCTGAGTCCTGGCCCCGTGTGATGGAAACACCCAGAACACCCTCAGCCCTTCCCTTCTCACCTGTGCGTGTCCCCTTCTCCTCCCTGCTGCTTCCCAGAGCCCCAGCTCTGTGTTACCGAGCTCTTCTGACTTCTCTTTTCCCTCTTTGCTCCCTGGTTTCCCACTGCTCTCTGTAGATCTATCGATGCTATTCCCGACAACCAAAAGTATAAGCAGTTGCAGAGGGAACTTTCTCAAGTGTTGACCCAGCGCCAGATCTACATCCAGCCTGATAACTAAACCAATCCAGGTACCCTCGCTGCCTGTGAGGTGTGAGCCAGCACTAAACCAGGACTCACCAGCCCAGCCCCTGCATGGTACCGGGAAGAACTAACCCCTAATCCCGCAGGGAGCGGCGGCGGCGCAGCCCGGCCGCCCCCGGGCTCTGTCTCAGCGCAGCCACAACGCTGTGGTTTATACTTGAAATGTTTCCTCCTCCTCCTCCTCCTCCTGGCTCTTGGAATTGGGGCAGGATTCAGCACTCTGCACTCTGGCTTGGGAGCAGGGAAGGAGCACGTGGGCCTGTGCCTGGAGTGCTGTGGGATCGGGCTGCTTCAGTCCAGAAGTGTTTTTTTTTCCGGGTTTTTTACACCTGTGGTTCACCACTTCCATGAAGAAATTCCCTGTAATCCCAGTGTCCTCCCTGCAGAATGAAATCCTGGGAATCTTGGAAATCCATTCCAGCCATCCAGTCCATTCCAGAGAATGGAATTTTGGGAGTTTGGGAAAAAAACAAAAAAGAGTCTGGTTCTTCCCATGATTTCTGAGTAGAGGTGTGCTCGTCCACACGCCCGTCCCCGTGAGCCTGCTGGGTTTGGAATTTCCTTGGAGCTGGAGCTGCAGTCCTGCTGGAGCTCACCCAGACATTGCCCAGCCTCCAGAGGGGTTTGTTGCTCGTTTGCTCTGGAGCTCTGAGTGTCAGGAGTGCACGGCAGTGACTAACCCTGAGCCAGCTTAACCTTCCACTCCAGTTCCTAACCAGTTCCAGACGTCGTTTCAAACACATCCAGCTGACCGACTGTTTGTTGATAGTGGCCAAGAACCACTTGTTCAGCCTGTGACAAATGCAATTATAAATGTGTATATGTTTTTATTAAAGCAGCAGAAGTCCCCAGAGACAAGAGAATGGAAATACTGTTGTAAAAATGGTAGGAAAATCACCACCACAAAGAGCAGCCTTGTTTACAGGAGACAGCAAGCAGGGGAAATGAGGTTGCTCTGAATCACAGAATCCCAGAGTGGTTTGGGTTGGAAGGGCCCTTAAAGCTCATCCAACTCCAGCCCCCTGCCATGGGCAGGGAAACCTTCCACTAAAGGCTGTGAAATGTGCCTTAGGTGGGGAGAAATCCTTCCCAGCTGGATCCTACCACTTCCCTGTGGCAGCAGCTCTGGAAGGGTTTGGTTCTGGATAGAACCTGTTCCATCAGTTTATTTAAGAGGGGCCTTTTAAAAGTGGAAATTTCTTATTGTCTCAAATCAGAGGTTTTCCACGGGCATCTCCCAGGTGATTCCTGGAGCTTTTGCTCTGTACTATGAGGCAAAGGGAAGCCTTGCAATAACCTTGTGACAGTATCTCTGTTCCTCTTCAGCTGCTTTGATCACTCACTCCTTAGGGAAGCTACAAAGACAGGCAGATTGGAGAGCAGAACCATTGGCTGCTTTTCCTGGGTGAACAATCCTGCAGAAGGGTCAGAGCTCCCCAGCCAGGTGGGGCTGGGTTTTCTCTGGACTTTGGGGGAGCAGGAGCGCTAACCCCCCTCGCTGCGGGACGCTGGGCTTCTTGCAGTCTGTAACACCAAAGGTTGGGGATGTCCCTCGGCAGCTGTGGGTGCTGATCCTCACCAGAGCGAGTTCTGCTCCGTGTTCTGAGTGGTTCTGAGTGCTCACATCTCCTTCTGCTTCCCGGGGTCCAGCAGGCAGAGCCGAGCCTGGGCTGAGGGGCTTCTCCTTCCTCCCGACTCCCACCCCTTCCCTCCCCTCTGACGCGCCTTTCCTTCTTCCCCGCAGGTCTGTGCAGACTTTTGCAGACAAATCAAAACAAGAAGCTCTTAAAAACGACCTGGTGGAGGCTTTGAAGAGAAAGCAGCAAAGTTAAAGTCCTGTCCGTGCTAACCAGCCATGCCATGCACTCGTTAGATTCCTTTCGTAGAGAATCATCCCCCGCCCTTTTCTGTTGGTCACGTCACGATTTGCATCCAATACTCTCCATGCAACGCCATCCTCTCCCCATGAATAAAGCTGTACAAACTTTTTCAGTCTCTGAGGCCTACTTTGCACCACATTTTACTATCAAGACCTTAGGCTATGTTTCTGTAGAAGTTCCACGTATTTTATTTTCTTCTCCCCCCTCTTTCCCACCCTCTCCCATTTATATGCATCACCACAGATCATTGTTTGTCTTTTCCTCCCTCGACCCCTCCTGCCTTTTGTTACATTGGTGTAAAAAATGTAAAACAAAAATTTATTAAATACTGTGGTGTGTGAAAGAGGAAGAACTGGAAAAACAAAACAAAAAAATAATAAGAAAATCTATTCCACGTATGTTTGGGGGCTGGGAACAGGGGCTGGCTGGAGGGAGGGAGGGAAGAGAGGGTGTTCCTTGAGCTTGTACCATACTGAGTAACCCAGATGTGCAGGAGATGGTGATTTGGAGACCTGCTGAAAGTTCTGCTCTTCTATAGCCTGGTTCCAAGGCGCTTTTCTGTCAATTTTTATGGAATGCAAAAGGGGTTTTTTGTTTTGATTTTTTTTGTTTTTTTGTAAAGCTTAAATTGAATCTACATCTGATACTTGAGCCTCCATACTAAAAAAAAAAATGGAAAAAAAAAAAAAAAGAAAAAAAAAAGACTATAACAATAAAAACCAAAAAAATCCCAGGAAAATGTGTGTGTGGTTGTGTCCTTCTTGTTTCTCTTTCCTTCCTTGGGTCACTTGGGGTTTGTTTTTTGTCCCACATCCAGAATGTTTGTCTGGAAGGGGGTGTGATGGCCCTGCTGCCTCTCCAAGGTGCTGGGGTTGAGGGATGCTCCAGGCACCCAGCAGATTTATATCCAGATTTATAGATATATTTCATATTTATGGGAGAAGGATCTGCATGGGTGTGCTAAAAAAATCCTGTTTTTTATCCTGATTCAATCCCAATTATATCTGATTTAAGCCCGGGGGGTTCCTGTGTGTCCAGCCCTGGGCAGGGTGCTGGGGTGGCTGGTTCCTCCCATCCGTGCTGTCCCCAAAGCTCCTCCCTGCTCCCCGTGTCCCCTCCCGGGCCCTTGGGCACAGGGACCTGGCACAGCTTTGCCTGCTCCAGGTTTGGTTGTAGCAAACCTCATTTCAAGCCCATGAAGATCTGCCAGGCTCCTGCTGCTCTGGCTCTGGGAATTGCCCTCTGTTAGTCGGCACTGATTAATTAATGTGCTCTAATTTGCTTTGGTACCGTGAGCTGGGTCCCACCCAGACTCCTGCAGGTGGGCAGAGCTGACCCAGAGCCTGTGGAAGGGACGTGGGCTGGGAAAGGATGGGATTCCCCAGGGAACACTGGAATTGTGCTGCTGTCTCACACTTCTATCCCAACACCAACCTCCCCTGAAGCTGGAGACTCCTGGAGAGGTTCTCAGTTTCCCTCAGGGGTGGTTGAAAGGCTCAGCCTTTTCTGCTTTAACATTTGCCTCTGCAGAACCCCGAGCACAGGGACAGGGCTGCAGCGGTGGCTTGGCAGGGATGGGAACCTCGGGGGGAGCCTCAGGAATTCCCAGCCCCTCCTGAGGTGGTTGTGGGTGTGTAAAGCTCTGTGTTGCTCCATCCTGCCCAGCCCGAGTAAAGGCAGAGTAAATCAGCTTTGTACCTAACTCGTGCTTTGGGTACACCTGTGGGGACAGACTGTGACACACATAAATACAGACACAGATGTAAAGATGGGTTTTTTCCTCCTCAGGGCTGAGCTGCTTCGTCCAGGTTTAGGAAAAGCCAGCATGTGACAATCATTCAGTGTTGTGAGGGGCAGAGATGAGGGGTTTGCTCATGATTAAAACTGGGTAGGAATTGTTCTACAATTCCCAGGGAAAGACAGGGAAGGAAGTGCTGCTGGCTTCAGGATGAGGTGAGCGGTGAATGCCTGTGAATGGTGAATTAATTCAGTAAAAACCCACTCACTTCAAGGGGCTCAGAGAGACTGAAATCTACATTTCCTTTCTGAAAACAGCTGGCTCAGCCCCAAGCCCTGGCCCAGCTTGTGTTTGAGTGAACGTGCTGCTGGGCAGGTGGGCACTGAGCAGCTGGAATCCCATTTAATGTGAGATCCATTGGGTTGGTGTCCTCAGGGCGAGGACAAAAAGCAGAGCAACTTCCTTGGGAAGGACAAACGTCATGGACTGGCTGAGGAATCATAAATTAGTGAGAATGCAGCCAAAGCCAAAAGGGACACGATGCTGGGGATCAGGGAGGGAGCACGAGAGGGCAAAGGAAAGCAAAAGGAAGAGCTGATTGCAACTCAGGAAAAGGAAAGCTCTTGTTTTCACAAGGCCAAGCTGTGACAGTTTTTCCTGAAGGGTGTCCAAGCTTTGGTTGGTTTTTCCCAGGGAGATTGAGCTGCTCATGCCCAGCAGGAAGAGCTCAGCACACAGGAGAGAGCCTGGCTACACCTCCACTCTCTCCTGATGGGGACACAGCTTTTTCCAGACCACCCCTGCTTCCCACCCTTCCCTGAGCCGAGTTCAGGGCCCCTAGAGGGGGATAAACTCATCAGTGCTGGGGATGAACTCAACAGGTTGAGGATAAATTCATCAAGTTGATAAATTCATCAAGGAGAGAGGGCAGGAACTGAAAACCAGAGTGAGCAGAGGCAGCTCTTCTGCTGGGGAACAGCAATGGAGCAACTTCCCTGAGGAATCCGTGCAATTAAAATATGGGTGAGGCAAAAAACGAGAAGTCAGAGAAATGGGAGTGTGAGACTCGTTAGGAGCTGCCAGGTAAAGCAGCAAAATGAAACCAAGGGAGGCAGGTGGGGAAGGATGTGTTTTATAGGTGGGTGAGCCGTGCTAATTAAAAGAGGTGTGGACTGAAGGCTTTGGTTCTGCCGCTCCTTCCCCACTGGATCCAGCCCGGGGTGTTTTCCAGAAAGAGCTGAGGGGGAGTTGTGAGGTCACAGCGGTGCTCGTGTCTGTGCCAGGTCAGTCATCCCTGTCCCCTCCCCACGTTTTTCAGCACCAAGGAAGTCCCAGATCACCCCTGGGAGACGCAGCTGTGACCGGGCTCAGCTGTGGGGAACCGGAGCAGGGAAGAGCAACTGAGCCACCCAAAAATTCCCTTTTATCCTGAAAGCACCACTGAGGCACGAGGTGTCCCAGCAGTGTCCTCTGCCACCACCTGGGCAGCACAACAGGCTCGGAGCCTCTTCTGCCAGGAGCCACCAGGATGGGGGGGCCAGTCTGCCCGGCCCTAAGGCCACCTTCCTCCTCCTCCTCCTCCTCTCCCTGTGGGGCAGGGCCCTCTGTCAGCTCTCTGGGCTCTCATCCTGCTCCCCAAGGAGAGCATCCCTCTCCTCCAGGGATCTGGGCCGGCCTTTCTGATACGCCAGGAACTGGAAGGAGATCTGGGGATCTGTCAAGGCTCTGCACTCACAGCGTGGGTCTCAGGCTCCTGTGTCACCACCCCGAGTTTGCGCCAGGAGAGGTGGGAACGGGACAAGGAGATGGATGCAAACCAGGGGCTGAGGCCAGTGCAACACAACAAATCACTCACAGAGCAGCAGCAACACCACAAATCAGCCACGGAGCAGCAGCTCCCCTGCCCTGCCCGTTCCACTCCCTGCAAGGAGCGCAGGGATGGGATCCCAGCCCAGGGGAAAGGATACAACCAGGTCGAGGGCCAGGACGCCCAGGCTGCCCACGAGCCAGGGCAGGTGGTGCAGGATGTAGTCACCTTGGCCCTGGCCTGGCTCTGGGTTCTTCAGGAGGACGCTGAGGCCGTACAGGGAATTCCCCAGCATCACCAGGGCAAAGAGAGAGTAGGAGACACCGCTGGTGGATTTCCTCTTGTACTGGGGAAAGAGGGAGAGGAGCCTGGGTGCAGCTCTCCTAAATCTCTCTACAGCGTGGTATTAATCACCCTCTCCCACAGCATTAAAAAAGAGAAGTGGTGACAGAGCTGAGAGTTTTTTAGTTCCCCCTTGCCTTGTAAATAGCACAAAATGAAAGCCCCACCCTCAAAATATTGGTAGGTTAAAGGGAGTGGAGAAAAATAAATACAGAGAAATAGCCCCTTATGGAATAATCAGAGATGGGGCCTGGGACCTCTGAGCAGAGAGAAAGGAAATATCCCTGAGGAGAAAGGAGAACACCCAGGGGAGAAAAGAGATCCCCAGGGGAGAAAAGAGATCCCCAGGGGAGAAAAGAGAATCCCCCAGGGGAGAAAGGAGAATCCCCCAGGGGGAGAAAGGAGAATCCCCCAGGGGGAGAAAGGAGAATCCCCCAGGGGGAGAAAGGAGAAACCCCCAGGGGGAGAAAGGAGAATCCCCAGGGGAGAAAAGAGATTCCCCAAGGGGAGAAAAGAGATTCCCCAAGGGGAGAAAAGAGATCCCCAAGGGGAGAAAGGAGAATCCTCAGGGGAGAAAGGAGAATCCCCCAGAGGAGAAAAGAGATCCCCAGTGGGAGAAAGGAGAATCCCCAGCCCCCTTGGAGTGACAGGTGAGGAACCCCAGAGTCCCGGGCTGGGCACTCACGTTGGTGCAGATCTGGGGCACTCGGGAGCACAGGTAGAGCACGGAGGAGATGGAGCCGATGGTAAATCCAATTATTTCAGTCCTGGAGAAAGGCTGCAAGGCAGGGGCGGGGACAGGGACAACCCCCGCGCTCAGAGCCCCAGCACGGCCACACCCAGGCCGCGTGTGCCCGGCTCCCCTCCTCGGACAGCCCGGGGGTAATTACAGCTGATAATTCTATTTCACTCTGCCACAGGAAAACAGCCAGTGCAATCTGCTTTAACGGGATTTGGGGTTATTTGCATTGCTCGGAGAGGTCCTTTTCTATTGCCAGAGCAAAATTATTTCGCAAACCTACCCTCAGTTTCAGCCAACTGAGTTAGCTTACTGCACTCCCTTGCTTGATTTTCAATAATATATATAAATGTGGCTAATTGAAAAAAGAATTAAAGGGGAGAAATCTTTCAAATTTCCTGAAAAGAGGAACCACATTTTTTTTGGAGACTGTCCATCCTATGCAGCTACTTGAGATAAAGTCTGTGTGCAAACAGAGATGTGGGGAATGTGAGGCTTGCTGACTCTTGAGCAGGCCCATAGAAGTGCTTGAAGTTTGAAGTGAAAATGCCCTGAAATGTCTGAAACCCTGCAGCAAACTCTTCTTGAATTTTGGAGGAAAAAGCTCTCCTTCCAGTGTCACCTTCCTGGACTGTAACAGTCTCCCAGAGAACAAATTGCTCCTAAAATAGGAACAGCCCCTAACCCCAAAACACGTGGTGGGGTCCAGGATGGATTTTTGGGATCACAGCATCCAGCAGGACGTCCCCACCCACACCTCCATCCCATCTCCCAGGTTTAGGAAGTGGCTCACCTTTGTTCCAAGCTCATCCCCGGGAGCTGAGAGCAGAGATCTCCCTTTGAAGGAGGCGGGATCCTCGGTGCTGGCCGTGCCCAGGAGGGAAAGGCTGGCCAGGGACCCCACGGAGAGGAACAGGAAGGCAGAGTTGATGGGAGCAGGGACTGCAGGGAGTCAGACACAGCCTGGTAAGGGAGAACCCAGCAACAGCCCCGGGTGAAGAAACCTCCAAACTCTCCCTTATCTCACCAAGGGATGGGGCAGAGGCTGCTGTGGGTGCTTGCTGTGATTTATCTCCAGTGATGTGCCCAATCTGTACCTCATCAGGGAGGAGACTGCTCCTATCTCGGTTTCTTTGGGTTTAGGGCTCTTAAAAATCATCCCCACTAGAAAATTTCACTGTTTTAAATCACTTTCAAACCCCTGCCAGAGCAAGCCCTGCTGTGGCTTATTTGTTAGTAGTAATTTATTATTTTTCAGTAATTTTTAGTGATTAAATTCAATAAACAAGCTCTCCAGCTTAACAATGGGTCAAATATCAATTGGTTGATCACTTTACATGTCTTCACCAAGTTAAATAATTATCCCAGTCCCAAGGAGCAGTGCTGGAAAGGGGATGTTCTGTTTTCTCTCACTGATTAAGCCCTGCAAGAGCTGCTCAGGTTCCCTTTTCACTCCAGGAGCTTCCCTGTCAAGGGTAGAGCACTGACCCTGAAACAGCCAGAAAACTTCCCCCTTTCCCTCCCAGCACTGCCTGAGTCAGGAGTTCTGTGCTTCCCAGCTCCCAGGTGGAGTCACTGTGTAACTGTGAGGGATTTATGGATTTCTGTGCCCAGTGAGGCTCATGCTGGGGGTTGTGTTCAGCCTGGACACCGTGAGGGGGCTTGCAGAGTCTGCAGAAACCCCAAACCCAGCCTGTAACTGTTGGTTTTGGCTCTCCTAGAGGCTTAAATGATCCAAAAAACCCCGAAAACAAAACCAGCAAGCAGTAAGAGGCATCTAATTACTGTGCCTGGAATCTCCCCAGGCTCCCAGAGCTCCCTGGAATCCCCCCCTCTCTGTCCCCAGCCCTGCCCCAACTCACACGCTCTGCCCCCGTTCTTCACCCGGTAGTAGCAGTAGAGGGAGAGCATCCCCAGGTCTGCCAGCACGTAGTAGATGGCCGTGTACACCTGTGAGGAGGGGACGCGCTGGGGACACCCACGGGGGCCTGGCTGGGCTGGGCTGGTCCCACAGGGCTGCTCCCCTGCTCTCCCTGGGGGAGAGGGGAGTGTCCTGGCAGGGAGAAGGGAGCAGCCCCAGAGGGAGAGGAAGGAGTAACTCAGGGGGTGAAGAAGGGAGCATCCCTGGGAGAGAAGGGAAAACACCAAGAGGGGAAACAGGGAGCATCCCTGGGAGAGAATGGATCACACCCGGGGGGGGGAGGAAAGGGAGCAATTCCAGGATTGGAGGGACATCCGGAGCAATGCTGGGTAAAGCAGCTTCCAGCCCCTCCCTCCTCCCTGGAGCCGGGGTGTTTGGGAGCCAGCCCGGCCCGGTACCTGCAGGGGCAGCTGATCAGCCAGGAAAGAACCGATGAGGTTGAGGAGGTCTCCGCCCAGCCATCCCAGCAGGAAATAGATGGAGAGAGCCTGGTCCATGATGCCCGTCCTGCAGGCCTGGTAAAACTGCCTGCAGAGCATTGGGCAGAGGCACAAACATCACCCTCAGCTGCTTCAGCGCTACCTGGGAGCCATCCCCAGGATTCCTGCGGATCCCCAAGTGCGAAAAGCAAGGTCACAGGCTCCCGTGGCCCCAGGGAGGTCACCGAGTGGGAGGAGCAGGGAAGATGATCCCCGGCTTCTCTCCGGTTGCGAAAGAACCGTGACTCCTCACGTGCCCCCTCTGCCACCCTGGTGTCAGCACTTCCAAGCACCCCACGGGGACATTCCTTCTGCAGTGTGACCTGTCCTGCCCGCCCTGCACGTGCCTGACGGCGACATTCCTGACACGGCAACAACGCCACGGCCACCACCAGGCTGTGGGGCTGTGCTGCCTGCTCCCCTCACCCCAAATCTGCCGAGCCCTTGCTGCTTTGGGGAGGGAATTTAAGAATTCTGGCAGCTAGGATTCTGCCATCCCCCAGAAAGGGCTGCCTGGGATTTGGGAGCGGTGCCCTGGGATTTGGGAGTGATACTCTGGGATTTGGGAGCGGTACTCTGGGATTTGGAAGAAGTACCCAGGGATTTGGGAGTGATACTCCATGATTTGGGAGCGATACTCCGGGATTTGGGAGCAGTACTCTGGGATTTGGGAGCAGTACCCAGGGATTTGGCAGCAGTACCCAGGGATTTGGCAGCAGTACCCAGGGATTTAGGAGTGGTACTCCAGGATTTGGGAGCGATACTCTGGGATTTAGGAGTGGTACTCCAGGATTTGGGAGCGATACTCCGGGATTTGGGAGCAGTACTCTGGGATTTGGGAGCAGTACCCAAGGATTTGGCAGCAGTACCCAGGGATTTGGGAGTGGTACTCCAGGATTTGGGAGCAGTACCCAGGGATTTGGGAGCAGTACTCACGGGAAGGCTGCAGCGATGAAGCAGGCGATGGAACCCAGCCCCAGGACGATGCTGGCGACATCCCGGCTGTCCTGGGCACACTCATTGAACACATCCATGATCCAGCGGGAGCCATTGGGACAATCAGAGAGATTCCCAAAGGGGAGACCACTCCAGCGCCGTGCAGCCATGGAACTGCCGGGATAACGCTGGGAAAAAGGGAATAACACAGGGAAAAATTAATAACACTGGGATTAATAACGTCAGATCTGGGTGAGAGACAGGGCTGTGGCTCCTCCGGGTGCTGGCTCACGTTGGAAAAATGGATCATTAGTGAATAATACACTTTTATAGGCCTTGGGTTTGCTGCCAGCCTGGCAGGGTTTAGCCTCAAAGGAGAAACAAGAAATGAAGGAAGAAGCAATAAAGAAGAAATAAGGAGAAAAAAGAGGAAAAAAGAAAGGGGGGGAAGGGAGGGAAAAAATAATAAAGAAAAGGAAAGGAAAAAGAAAATGAAAAGAAGAAAAAAGAAAAAGGAAATGGAAGGGAGGAAGAAAAAAAAAAGAAGAAAAAAAAAGAAGAGAAAAAAGAAGAAAAAAAAGAAGAAAAAAGAAGGAAAAAAAGGAGAAGAAAAGAAGGAGAAGAAAAAGGGGGTGCGGGGGAGAATAAATAAAAGAAGCCGAAATCCAACCCAACCTGTCCTCGCAGCACCGGCACTCTCCTCCTCACCGACGCGGTTCGGAACTTTATTTTTCCTTGAAAACCCGTTCTTTTTGACACTTGGGCTATTTTTCTTTGCAAATCCACTCAGACACCCGCCGGGTTTCCTTTGCCGCTGTCCCAAATGCTGCCGGGTTTCCTTTAACGCCGTCCCAAACCCTCCGCTCTCCCCAGTCCTGCCGCTCCTCTGCCGCCTCAGCCGCTTCCTCGGGAACTTTTCACAGCCCCGCGGCGTGAAACCAGCGAGCTTTTTCACAAAGCCGCTGCTTTTCCCCACCCGCTCCCCTCGGGTTCCCAGCTGCGCTTTTCCCAAAGCCGCCGTTTCTCCCGAGCTCGGGCTGCTCGGGCCGGGCCCGGCGGTGCGAGGGGCCCGGCGGTGTGAGGAACCCGGCGGTGTGAGGGGCCCGGCGGTGTGAGGGGCCCGGCGGTGTGAGGGGCCGGGCGGGGCGCGGGGCGGGCCGGGCCGCGCAGGCGCGATGGCGGCGCGGGCGGCGATGGCGGCTGTGGCGGGCGGCGGGGCCCGGCCCGCGGTGGTGCTGGGCGCGATGGAGATGGGCCGGCGAGCCGGGCCCGAGGCGAGTGCCGAGCTGCTCCGCGCCTTCCTGCGCCGCCGACACCGCCTCCTGGACACCGCCTTCATGTACGCGGGCGGCGAGTCCGAGCGCATCCTGGGCGCGCTGCTGGCCGGCGGCACCGAGCCCGGTACGGCGGCGGAGGGCGGGCTGCCCTCGGGGGAGAGGGGCTGTGGCTGAGGAGAAGGGGCTGCTCTGCCAGGTTGACACTGTCCTTGAGGAGAAGGGACTTGGCCAGGATTCCTTCTGTGAGGAGAGGGGTCTTCCTTGAGAAGGGTTTTCCCTGAGGAGAGGGTCTCATCTCTTCTGCCACGCTGACACTGTCCTTGAGAAGAGATTTGGCCAGGACTTGTTCCCTGAGGTGCAGGCTTTTCCCTGTTAGGCCAATGCCCTCCCTGAGAACCCTTCCCTGAGGAGATGGGACTTCCCTGGGGAAGGAGAAGGGTCTTCCCTGTCAGTCTGACAGAATCCTTGAGGAGAAGGGAATTACCTCAGGACTCGTGCTCTGAGAAGAGGGGTCTGCCCTGAGGAGAAGGGTCTCCTCTGCCTGGCTGACACTGTCCCTGAGGACAGGGGATTTCTCTGGGGCCCATTCCCTACAGGTTAGGGGAGAATCTCTTCTCCCTGAGATTTCCCCTGGGCCAGTTCTCTGGGGAGAAGGGTCTTCCCTGCCAGTTTGAGGCTGTCCCCAAGGACAAGATCCTTCCCCAGCATCCATTCCCTGAGGAGAGGGATCTTCCCTGCCCAGCTGACTCCCTCCTTGAAGAAAACTGACTTTCCCCAGGCCTATCCCCTTAGGATAAGAGTTTTCCCTGCCAGGCTGATGCCATGCCGGAGGGGAAGGGACCCCCGTACTAGTGCTGACCCCCAGACCTTGAGGGGCAGACCCTCAGTCCCTGCAGAGAGAAGCTCCTCAGCCAGGCTGATGGGATTCCTGAGGAGAGGCACCTTCCCTGAAACACCTCAAACACTTGGGTTATGTCCCTTATCCCCACTCCCCTCCTCAAGGTGGGAACATCCTTGCTCATTCCTTCTCTCTCTCTGCCAGTGGAAGTGGCCACCAAGGCCAACCCGTGGGATGGGAAGACGCTGAAGCCGGAGAGCGTGCGCTCCCAGCTGGACACGTCCCTGGAGAGGCTGCAGAGGACGAGTGTGGAGCTCTTCTACCTCCATGCTCCCGACCACGGGACCCCGGTGGAGGAGACCCTGCGTGCCTGCAACGAGCTGCACAAAGAGGTAAAGTGCAGAGTCCAAGCCTGGACAAACCTTGATTCCCTCCTTCCCACTGCTTTTTTTAAACCAGAGCTGCTTGCTGTGCCCATCTGCAGCGCTTGTGCGGCTCTGGGAAGAGGAGACAGAGCCCAGGACAGAGCTGAGCAGTCGCTGCTCTTTGTGTGCTCACGTGGTGCACTTTGTACCCCAGAGCTCTTGGAACATCTGAACTTTGCTTCCAGCCCTCTTAACAGTCTGGGTTAAGATTAGTGCTGGTAATGGGTAAAGAATTCCTGAGTTTTGTTTATCTGGTTGTACCATTTAAACTAGAAGGTGTGAATTCCAAATAAACAGAAAATGGGGAATATATTTGTCATGTCTTAATAATTCATAGTCTGGCAGAAACGGTGGACAGGAATGAACCCTTCTGGACTAAAATTTGGTGGCTGCCCTTTTCACTGTACCCATCTTGTACTCTCTGGGTCCAGATGAACTTCGAAACACTGGAACTGAATTCCCTTTTATTCCTCTGCAGGGGAAGTTTAAAGAGCTTGGCCTGTCAAACTACGCCTCGTGGGAGGTGGCAGAAATCTGCACCATCTGCAAGTACAACAACTGGGTGATGCCAACTGTGTACCAGGTGAGGGAGGGAGGGAAGCTTGCATTTGGGCTTCCCAAATCTGGGACCAGCCCCAGTGTGCCAGATATAAATTCCAGAAGGAATCTGCTGCAGTTAGTCTGGGAAGTCACAGAGGTTGGAAAAGACCTGCAGTCCCAGCTGTGCCCGATGCCCACCTTGTCACATCCAGGCCTTCCTTGGACACCTCCAGGGATGGGGACTCCAAACCTCCCTGGGCAGCCCTTCCAAGGCCTGAGCACTGTTTCAGGAGGAAATTCAGGAAGCTGAGCGAGGTCTTTTCTCAGAAACAGCTCAGTGTGTTCATTGCTGGATTCAGCGACTCCCCTGGCACGGAACCTGAAGTGTTTGCAGCTCTGCAGCGAGTCTGTTCCTAAGCAAACCATAACCTTGTGCGATGTGAAGCCGCTCTCTCGGATGGGCATTGCCAGGGAAGGGTGGGAAAAGGCAGCTGCTGTGCCCTGAGCTCTGTTTGAGGCCGTCTCCCACCCCGCGCAGGGAATGTACAACGCGACCACGCGCCAGGTGGAGGCCGAGCTGTTCCCCTGCCTGAGGCACTTCGGGCTGCGCTTCTACGCCTACAACCCTCTGGCAGGTACAGGGGGCAAGGCCAGGCTTTGGGACAAAACCCTGTGGAATGGGGGCTGTGCAGAGCCAGCCCATCCCCAATCCTGCTGCTCCCTTCCATCCCAGGGGGGCTGCTGACCGGCAAGTACAAGTACGAGGACAAAGACACGCGCCAGCCCACGGGGAGATTCTTTGGGAATGACTGGGCTCAGGCCTACAGGGACAGGTGAGTCCTGAGCTGACAGAAGAGCAGGAATGGCTGCATTAAAAAAAAAACACTCTAATAGTCAGCTGAGAGGAAGCAGAATTGACCAAAGCTTGGGATTATGTCAGCACACGTGGCTGGGGCTGTGGTGTGTGACTGAGCACTGTAGGGTGGATTTTAGGCTCAGCTTCCTCACAACTCCCAAGGGAGATTGCAGAAGTCCTCAGAGTCTACAGAGAGACGTACGAGGTTTCCTGAAAGCCTTTTGATGGGAATAGCACTAGAGGTCCCAAGGGCAATAACAATGATTTCTTTTCATGCAGGTACTGGAAAAAACACAATTTTGAGGGAATTGCACTGGTAGAAAAAGCTCTGGAAGAGGCTTATGGCTCCACAGCACCCAGCCTGGCGTCCGCTGCACTGCGCTGGCTCTACAACCACTCCAAACTGCAGGTGAGAGCTTGACCTGGGCACTGCTGCTGTGCCAAACAGGGAAATTCCAGTGTAGGTGTCTTTTAATCCCGTGGGATTGTGGTGTTAAAAGGTGAATATTGCTGAGCAAACTCTGCCAGGCAGCTCTGCCTTTCCCCGTGGTATCCCGTGTGGTCAGAGCTGGAGGCTTCAAGAGGAAGATTTTAGGAGTCATGATTCCCATGCACTCAGCTTCCCTGCAAGGAGAGGACTCGCCTTTCACTGGACTAGAAATTGAATGCTAAATGTTCCCCACCTCCTCTGAATGTTCCTGTAGCCCATCATAAAGTAGGACTTGGCAGCTTCTGAGGATTTGGTGTGACTTGGGGATGTCCTGGCCTAGCGAGCAGAATTTGTGGTGTCAGTTGCTCGGTTCCTCGTTCTTTAGTGGAGAGAAAGGCCTCGTTTGGCCCACAGTGGCTTGGGAGGTGAACTCCCTTTTGGGATCAGCAACACTCTGTCTCTTCCCAGGGTTCTCTTGGAGATGCAGTGATCATTGGGATGTCCAACTTGGAGCAGCTGGAGCAGAACCTCAACTACAGCGAGGAGGGTCCCCTGCTGCCGGCCGTGGTGCAGGCGTTCGACGAGGCCTGGAACCTGAGCGCGCACGACTGCCCCAACTACTTCCGCTAGGGAAGGCTGGCACAGGCTCCAGAGACTCGGTGCTGCCCACCCTGCCCTCCCACCCACGGCTGGAGGGCTGCAGGTTTGTCCTGAATCAGTGAAGCTTTGTAGGATCTACACCCGTGCCTTAGTCCTCCCTGCCGGCCCCTCGGCTCCCCCAGCACACCCCGTGATCACACCCCGTGATTCAGGATGCAGCTGATGAGGAAAATGAACACCTTAACCAGGTGAAGGCCCCTGTTCTGCTTTAATGTGAAATCTTAAATGATTACATAAGAGAATAAAACCTCTTCCTAGTGCAGACCCAATCTCTGATCTGTGCCTGGAACGGAGTTTGAATCACAGAATTTCAGGATGGTTTGGGTTGGATGGTCCTTAAATCCCATCTTGTTCCACCTCACAACTTCCACTATCCCAGATGCTCCCCATCCAGCCTGGCCTTGGACACTTCCCAGGATAAGGCAAAATTCCAAGGACTGACCTAAATATCTTCTTCTGTGTCAGAATAACAAACCCTCAGCATCTTTCCCTTCGTGCTATATCAAAGCTGTATTACATTTATACCCTTTCTGCTCAGTTTAGATGTTTGAGCTGGCATTTCCTCAGATTCCAGGATACACCAACAGTAACAGGCAGCAGCAACAACCATCTGCAGTTTCACACAGATATTTATATAAATATAAAAAAAACACATAGCTCGTTTTATATAAAGATCATCCCAGTCCAGGTGCACCCAGGGAAGGGAAATATCCTCCTCTTTTTTGTCCCTAAAATAGAACTGTCTGGTGTCCAAGCTGTTAGTGATCATTGCTTCCACCATCATCATCATCATCATCTTCTTCATCATCATCCTCCTCTTTCTCCTCTGCTGTGTCTCCCACGAGCTTCTGGAAGTGTCCTGTCTCAGAATTCCACAGAAACTTCATGGTGACTTTAAACTCTGCCATCTCATAGCCGAAGAGTTTCTAGGAGAGGACACAAATCTGTCATTCCCGCTTCACTGTCTCTGTGCCCAGCCTAGCAGAACAGTAAATTCTGCTTCCAGGTGGCAAGTGGAGCAAAGCAGGAACCAAAACAATTGCTGCTGGGTTTTAGGAGTTGTGTTA